GCGATTTCAGCGATACCCCCATTACCGTAAATGTGTTTGATTCAACTATTACCGTAAGATATGTCCAATGCATTCATTACTGTAAGACATGTCTAATCCATCCCTTATCGTAAGATATGTAAAGGATTTATTCCATTACTCTGTCTTCTGTTTGCCTTCTTATTTCAGTGTTAAAAAGCGCACATTTTTGTAATATCGTATCCTTATCCTCATGTTTGTCTCATTTCATTCATATGTTATATGTATATATTCATATGCTTCACACCTTTTCAAAATGTTGTACTATTGGAGTGATATTTTAAGTTAGTACTAAATATCAAATGAAACTAACCTTTGAAATGATTTTAAACATGAAAATAAATTGACAACATTAGAATAGCTTACTGTAAGCTGCGTATTATGAATTTTAAATTATCAAATAAAACATTTTATTCACTTCATTAGTTCAAAAGTAAAACTATTGAGATTTCATTTACTCGATGAGAAATATTATTTTAGTCTTAATTGTTAGATTAAGTATAAAGTAAAACTTAATAATAAATGATATCACTCACTCACTCTCTCCCTCTCTCTCTCTCTCTTTCTCTCTCCTTCTCTTTGTCTTCACTGCTATTAACATTTATACAGAAGTATATAGAATGCTTAGTTTAATGATGAAATTTCAACTTTATTTTAATCTCTCAAATTTTGATAAGTGTGATAAATCTTTCACATATCATAATGAATTCTTCCCATATTTAATAAACAAAAGCTATACTCTCTTTCTGATATTTATGCAAATTGATTTATCTTAGGAATGTTTTAATTTTAAAATTTAAAATCTTATAATTTTTCAGTTTTTTTAGGGTTAAAAAGATTAAATAATCAACAGAATGGAAATTGAAAATTATAATACAATATGTTGGATGGAAAAAAATAAAATTAGCAAAAAGTGAATTCTTTTCAATAAACTAAGCGCAACTTTCCATCTTTTTTCATCCTTTTGAAGAAAAGAAATAAATTTTGTGAGAAAAGAAAAAAAAAGGTTTTTTTTAATAAGAAGGGAAGAAGGAAAAGGAAATAATTACATACGGAATGATATACCTTATTCTGGCAATAAGATTTATTATTATTATTATTATTATTATTATTATTATTATTATTATTATCTATTATTATTATCATTATTATTATTATTATTATTATTATTATTATTATTATTATTATTATTATTATTATTATTATTATTACTTATTATTATTATTATTATTATTAT